GGATGACGTCGCGATGATGGGATGTCCGGGGTAGTGAAGCAGGGCGCTGCGCAAGTTCTCAAGGGTTATGCAGTGTCAGAAGGCAGCAGCTGGGGGGGCAGTGATGACTCCCCGGGGCTCAAAAGGTAACCCAGGACTCAGCATGATCTCCCCCCCCCCCCGGGCCCCACCGTCAAAGTGCAGCTGGTGGGGCGCGTCCAGCGGCCGAGTGTGCGCCCAGAACTCGACGTGCGTCGCGCCGGCCAGGAGCGAGGCCGGCCGCCCAGGCGCGCCCTCCGCCCCCTCGGCGCCCTGATCGCCGCGGCGGCAGCGCCGCAGGATCAGCACCGCCGCCGCCTCCAGCGCATTGGCGGGCCGCCCCGGCGCGTCGGCGGCGGAGCCCTGCGGATGCCCCCCGCCCTCCGCCCCGCCCTCATCCTCGCACGCCCGCGCCACGGCGGCGGCGGGGGCGGCGGCGCCGCCGCTGTCCTGGTCGGCAGCGGGCAGCTCGAAAACGTGGGAGAAGAACGGCGTGTCGGGGTAGAAGTAGCCATGCTCCCGCCAGTACGCCGCGCCTGGCGCGAACGCGCGCTGCAGGCGCACCAGCAGGCCGGGGGGCAGGCTGTCATCGAGCGTCCACGCCGCGGTCAGGCCGGCACCCGCGTCGCCGGCGGCGGCAGCGGCGGGCGGGGCGAACAGCGCCTGCCGCGACCCCTCGGCGCGGGGTCCGCTGCCGGTGCCGCCGCTGCCGTCGCTGCTGTAGGGTGGCAGGCACGCGTCCCAGACGGCGGGGGCGAGCGCATAGCGGCAGCCGAGGGCACGTAGCTTGCGATGGGCGGCGGCATGCTCGCCAGCGAGGCTGTCTTGCACGGCCTGTGCGTGTGGTCCAGGGAGAGGTTTGCAAGGATTGTTCAGGCGGAGAAGCAGAGGAACAAGGGCATGACACTGCCACACGCCGTGAAGGAGGGGCAGGGGGGGTGGTCGCCAGCGAGGCGCGATTGCGTCCAGCCGTCCTCTCGCCCCACCCGCGGCCACCGGCAACTGACTCCGCGCGAAATATATTGTAATTTACCTGCCAGTACAGCAGCTCGGCCTCCTCTTCCATCCAGAGCCCGCGCCCGGCTCAAAAAATCTAAGCGGATCTCGGTGATGTTTCTGTCATTCGGCCGCGTTCATGCACCCCGAAGCCGTGTGGCTAGCCTATGCTCGTTTTGGGGTGGGGCAGGATATGTGCGATCCCTTGTGGGTCTTGAACGCGCTGCCGGGCCGCCGACGAAGCGAGTGACAACCGGGTGACATACGCCCGAGCCCCGAGCTTACGGCCTGGACTATCAGTCGGCCAGCACACCAGCGTCATCTGCGTATCTGATGGCTGTCTCCTGTTTGCCATTGCCTTCCGCTGGGCGCTGCAATGCTGCGTTCGCAGGCCCCCCTCATCACATCCCCCCTTAGCACAAAAGATTTGTTACTCAGTCAGAATCGCGTTCACCACCACAAATTAGTGCTGTGTCAGCAAGCATGGGCGTACCAGGCATACGACAGGCCCAGCCACGTTTGCAAACACTTGTGCTTTCAGAGCACACCCAGGGCAGCCTGCAGCAGCATCAAGGTTAACAGCGGCGGGCTGATCTGTGCAGCAGATGCTGAAACACAGGGCAGCAGCACCTGCAGACACGCTGGGCAGCTGACAGCCTGCTTCAGATTGTGCAGTACAAGATTAACAAGGCACACTGGTGGCATCGCCTGGTGCACCAGGCGCCGCACACACCAGATGCGGGGTGCAGTTGGGGGCGCATCGTAGCCTTCAGGCCTGGTGGGACACCTCCATCAAGGCCTTGTGCCGCAGCCCGCTCATCGTCTGCATCATGCTTGGTTGCAGATTGTGTTACAAGTGTAGTTGAGACAGTAGAGGGGCTGGTGCAATCGGGATGCTCAGGCAAGGCGTGCGCAAACACCGGCGTGTGCTGTGTCGCGATGTGAAGAGGTTGGCCAGCCTTGCACAGCAGGCCGTGTGTCGATGCATGTCACATGACCGGGTGCACCATGCGCGCCGTTCTTGCGCCCATCAACCGGACGATCAGGGGTCTTCCCCACAAAAAAGGTGCTGTGGCTTCAATGCCGCCGCGTGTGGGCCCTGGCCCTTACGTGCGTACAAGCCATGCGTGTGCCCTCGGCGCGCACGTGAACCGCGAATGTACGTTTCTGGGTATTTCCACCATCGCCCAGTATTCGTTGGCGACTTTTTGATTGTACTCCCGGCGCCCGAAGTCCCGTAATAGACCACGCAAGGCAACGAGACTGTTCATTTGGCGGAAAGCTTCTCGAACCCCCCAAGGGGGGGCAGGCGGGAGGATTGGTCACGAGCCGCAGGCGTGCTGAATCCGCCACGCGCCCTTGTGTGGAGTATCTGTGCACACAACTCCGAGGGCACAGGTCCAAGGGCGCTCTGACTGCGCCGCAGTGCTGCGCCGTACCCGCGACTCGCCACGCCGCCGCATCTGGCGAACGCCTAGCGAATACGGCCGACGTACGGCTTGTCGAGGCGCGGCAGGTAGAGCCTCAGGAGGATGACGCCGATGAAAGAGCCGGCCGACAGGATGGACAGCCCTACGCACGGAGGGTGAGGGATGAGACAGCGAGACGTGTCAGCCTCAAAGACAAGACGCTAAAGAGATGAACAGTGTGCTGGTGCTTGCACAGGTCCAAAACCCAAAGCAAGCACACGTCTGCTGCGTTGACCGCTGTGGTGGCCCGCCACAAGGCGGTGCTGCAACCCCCAGGGGGAAAGTATCATGCAAGTGGGGCCAGGCTCACAGATGGCCGGCGCGATGCCCTTGATCTCCGCCGGCAGCTTTGCTTTGAGGGCCGTGACCACGATGGGTGAGATGCCGCCAAGGATGCCGTAGCCGACAGCAAACGCTGTGGCACAATAGCGGGGATGGGGCGAAAAGGAGCAAATATTGAGGGGTACATTCGTGTTGGAGGTAGTGTCCGAATCACAGACCCCAGCCCCTTGTAGGCCCCATCAGACAAGTGCCTGCTGGCATGCACAGCAACATACGCTGCACGTGCAGCGGCCAACATCTTGTAAGCGGGCTTGGCTGGAAGCAGGCCGCGGCGCTCTTACCGAAGCTGAAGCCAGTGGTGCGCTCCAGGGGGTGGTAGATGCGTGTGAGGGGCAGCACCACAAAGGCCTGGCCGAAGCCGATCACCAGGTGCAGCAGGCTGGGTGCCACCCAGAGCGCTGCGATGCTGCCAGTGCCGACCCACCTGCGATGGGAAAGAGGGACAGGGTCGAACGGTTGGTGGAGGCTGAGTTGCGCTTAAAGCAGGGCGATGATGCGCGCGAGTACAGCACATGGGGCATCACAGCACGCACGGCATGAAAGGCTCCCTCGATGTGCATTATCAAGTCCTAGGGTCATACCCCAGCGGCCCCCGTACCAGTAGAGGCCAAAGCCAGTTGACACGCCGACGACCACGGTTGCGGCCCAGGCCCTGATGGCAGGCAGGCCGTGGTCCAGCAGGTAGCCGGCAGTCAGCAGGCCGGCCGCATTGAAAAACAGGCTGATGATCGTGATCGTCACTGCCAGTTGCGGGGAACGAAGGGGCCCATTGGAACAGAGATAGGAGGTGGAGCGGCAAGAGCAGAACAGGCTCTTGGCAAGAAATGGTGGGATGATGTGAGGACGGCGTATGAGACCGACATTGGTACTTTGCAGGCTGGCCCGCTGTCCTGGCTGGCTCAAGGCTGGCAAGAAGCAATCTGCTGCAATCCAATGCCCCCGCAAGCATGTCCTACATATGCCCCTGGCGTTGCTCACGAGCGATGGGGCCGGGCAGGCCAAAGCCGTTGGCGAGCTCTGTGGCCAGCCAGGTCACAGCCACAAAGAAGCTGCGCGCGTCACGGTTGGCAGTGGTGGGGTTTGGGGTTTGGGGCATGCTTAATTCAGGGCACGGAAGGTGTGGTGAGTGGGCGCAAGTCCACCCATGACCATATCCCCTAGCTGACTCAAGGGGGTTGTGCAGAGATCGGAGTGCATTCAGACGTTCACCCTCATACAGGCCTTTCGTAAGCGCTGCTCTCGTTTCACAATTCCAGGCACTCACGCTCCAAACACCCAAGCGCCGAAGAGGAAGTGGATGGCCAGGCCGGTGGCATTGTTCTTGAGCAGGCGCACAAACGGCAGCTTCGCGCGCGAGTGGCCGTGGAAGGCCGTGAGTACGCCCTGGTCCTGCGCGTCCACGTCGCTCTCCTCGTCATCAGACTCAGGGGTGGCCTACAGGGGGTCGAAAAGGGCACGGCGGGAGTCAGGTCGAGGGCGGGTGCTGAGCAGGGCAGAGGATGCAGGACGGAAAGCGCACCGCCCAGCAGGCTGTGAAGATTTATGCTTCAGGAGGGACAAGCCAAACAGCGCGGCATTGTAGAACCACCAGGTCAAACGCAAGTACTGGTAAGTAGCACGTTTACTTGCGCGCTGTGTCATGCAGGGAGCATGGGCTGCGCTCACCTTGCCGGTGGTGGGGGTGCCAACAACGAGGCCCGCGTCAGCTTTCACAGTGGCGCCGCCCTCAACGCCCTCGGCCTCGTCAGCCAGCTGCTCTTCCTTCTTGGCGTTGACAAAGGCAGCAGGCTCTGGCAGTCCGCGGCGGATGTAGTATCCGATGAATGCGGTGAACCCTGCCACCAAGAAGGGGACGCGCCAACCCCACTCAAGCATCGCCTCCTTGCTCAGGGAGGCCTGGGTAGTACAGAGGTAGGAGAGGCAGGGAGGGTGATATTGACAGAGGTAAGAGTGGGCATCTGCAACAGGAGGTGGGCTGCTGTGCACAGGGCCGGCTTTCAATGGTGCCAGGGCAAACGTGCATTCCAAAAAGTTTATGTGCGTGGGCCTACGGCTGGAGAAGATGCAAGGAGCGGCAGGGACGAATGCTGTGTCTGCGAGGAGGCTCACCTGGAGAGCCAGCGACAGCAGAGAGGCCAGGGCCAGACCGATGTTGACCATGCACTGCAGGGCGGTGACGCTGCGGGCGCGGGTCTTCACATCAGCCAGCTCGGAGATGTACACCTGGTGGTGTGGGATGGAGGACAAGAACAACAAAACTGCCGTGAGCTTCGAGGGTGAGAAATACATGGCAAAAGCCAGGAAGTCACAAGGGCATCCAGAGCATGCACAGCTGCGACTGTGTCAAGGGCAGAGAGATCGTGATCTTCCATGGGGAATACTGTGTCGCGAGACTCTCTTCAGTCAGCCGCCAGCACGTTGATTGCTCACTGCGGCGCCACCAAACTCGCCGCCAAACGCTGTGCCCTGGATGATGCGAATGACTGCAGCGCACAAGATAGCGACAGACAAGCTGGGTTAGGGCCAGCACTATCAACTTGTTCACGGCAGTCCTTTTGTTTGTAAATGAGTGCACACCTCTTGGTATGACAGTGCTTGTCAAGCTATTGCCCAAGTATCAGTGTCGTGCTTTGATGACCTGTGCGGGCTCCCAACCTCTTGTACTTTAGGGCCTGCGCAGCCAATGGCTGCATGGACCATACATGGCGCCCGCAGCTGCTGTGTAGTGACATGAGCTCAATGTGCCCGCGCCCGCTATAAGAGCCATCCAGGTGACTTGCAAGTAGACCAACCTGAGCACTGTTTGCGCTGCTTGTGCCCAGGATTCAAGTTGGGAGCCCTCTCCCACTGCCGAGTATCTTGCTTTTGCGTGCAGTACTACTAGGTGCTCCCTCTGGGCCCCATCTCCATCGCGAGCAGCAAGCCAGGCCACTCACTAGCCAGCAGGATGGGCGATGCAATTCCAGCCGAGTAGCGGCCGATGGCGTATGTTGGGAGGATGCCAATCAGGAAGGTGCCAAAGGCCTGCTGCAGGATGGCGAATGTGAAGGACCAGCGGCGGCCGTACTTGTCGCCGATGTGGCCTGCGCATATGGGCATGGGCGGAGATGGGGGCCAGGGGCATGGGTGTTGGAAGTCGTGGAGCTTGGGGCTTGGGCTCATGAGAGCAGCACCCTCAACAGAGGGGCGAAATCAATACAGAGGCTGCAATGGACCGGGCGCGCGATTGCTTCGGGGGTTGCAGTCCCCCCTGTTGTACCCAATGTCCAAAGTCTGTGTTGCACGCCCCGCACCGTAGAACAGGGCGCCGACAGGCCGGGATACGAATGCGATGGCAAACACTCCCTGCAGAGGATGGCAGCGAGTGTGCTGGTTTGCAGTCGAGGCGAGGAGTGGTCAGGCTGTGGTCTGGCCCAAAGTGGCGATTGGGCTCTGACAACCCTGCAGGCACGGCGGAGCATGCACAGCTCTGCGCCATATGCATGCTCTGGAAAAGGTTACAGTGTTTGCTCTGTGCGCGCGATGCCCCCCAGGCTGGCAGGTCGGTGCCGGTGCCGCACCCAGTAGGAGAGGGCCGTGACGACGGGGTCGCCAGAGGGGAAGAACACCTGGACAACAGGTCAAGGCAGGTGGAGGGGCCGGGTCCATTCAAGGCAGTTGCGAGGCGGCCAGGCGTGGACGCTACTTGACTGAAGTCACAAATTGACATTGTGCGTGCGACGGGGGGTGCACAACCTGGCTGCTGAGCGCGTCCCCTTGTGCACTGCGCAATGCAGATGAACAAAGCCACGCACTGGCTGGCCATTTGCCAAAGTGCAAGAGGCCCCGCACCTTCCCCAAAACAGCACTGAGCTGGGTGTAGCAGTCTGCACGAGGTGCAGCACAGGGCGGGGGTGGAAGTCAGGATTGGTGTTTTGTGACAAGCGGGCGTGCCCTGGACAACACCCGCAGCCGCCACTGCGGCGACATCATGGGTTCCTGGCCTTGTCTGGTGACTCTGTACAATCCCACCGCGGGCCCAGGCACACAAACCCCCCCAGGGCCCCTCACAGAAGTCAAAGTACTCCAGGATTGTGCCGATGCCAGCAACGATGAGAACCTGGGGGTGGTGATGGGCACGTCATCCGCTGCGGGTTGCTGACGGTATCCTGGGGCGCGCACCAAAATGCCAGTGGCACCCACTGCAGGCGGCGGAGCATGCCAACGCGACCCAGGGATGCATGATGGCTTCTCACCAGCTTCCACTGGTTCACATCCAGCGCCTTAGGCTGGAACTTGGCAAGCACCATGGCTGCTGCGAGGCTGCTTCGGTGTGCCGGCGGGTGACGCAGGGGTGGAGGCGGCCCCGTGCGGTGCGCCTGCAGACCGAGTGGTGAACGAGTAATGAGAGTGAGTGGTGTGGATTCAATGTGTGCAGCACATGCAGGGGGATATGCAGGAGGGTGCGGTGTGGCGCAGCGGGCAATCTGCTGGCCTATGGCTCAATCGATGGCGGCAAGGTTACCTATCGGCGATGTTTGGCAGTGGCCTGGGAACGGCAACAGCAAATATGATTGCTGATGCTGTATGAACACGATATTCTTTCGCAACGCTGATAGCCGTCGTGTTTCTCCCGAAACGCCGCTTTTATGAGGCGAGGCTGCAGGGCTCAGTGGCCTCATGGTCAAAACCCGGGCCACTGCGGGCTGTCATATCGATAAGATTGTGCATACGAGAAACTTCGAACATCACATGCTGGGGACTGTGCGGCATGTGGTCAACGCCCTGTTGCGGACAACTGTGCAGCATGGGGCAAGGCGTTTGAGAACACCACAAGCGTCATAGCATGAATGTCTGGCGTCTGTGCACTGCGTGCCTGACTATGCCTGGCTATGGCTGGCTATGCCTGCTGGAAGCTGGGCCCATACCAGCGCGTTGCACAGAACGGAGCCAGACTCAAGACGGTGCAATACGTCCCAGAAAGTGCTGAGGTACTTCCCCATCATGGTTGTTGGAATTGGGCACTGCCAAAGTACTGTGAATAATGCGATTTCTGTGATCATACCTCCAGCGCTACCATGGGCAGGAGCATGCAAGACGCAGCGACCACCTCGCTCTGCCGAGCGCACCGCAAGTGCTGCAAAGTGGCGTCAATTTACGTTTTTGCTTGCCAAGGAGGGCACACTGCCTGCCCAGAGCATTGCAAAACCATCGGTTTTATGAACATGGTGGAGCGCAACTTGAAGGGAAACTTGCAGAAAAAGAAGAGAGCTTGTTTGCGGCACGTTCCAGGTGTGAACTATTACTCAATCAGGGGTTACTCACTTGCGCACGAGCCCAGTCATGCCGGTCGATGCTCCAAAGCACAAGTGCGTTCAAGTGGTGCGGCAAAGCACAGTGAAACGCCAAGTGCAACACCAAGCGTCTGGGGCTTTTTCCACGGCTGGGGCTGCTTTCGCCCGACGCGCAGCCTGCGCAGTGCGAACAACTGCAGCAGCCGCGTGGTCATCGCCACCTCACCAAAAGCCGATGCACGACGGGGACTTGCACCGCTTCGACCGATCTATTGTTTTGCTATCTTCAGTCTTTGTCCTCGCACCCAACGAGCAAACCCCGATTTCTCATCAGCCACGCACCTGTCTGTTTAGCGCGTCGTCTCTAGCAATAATTTCTTTTGATTTTTTTTCCGCGACTGCGATGGCGGGCGAGGAGGGGCTCCACACGCTGGAGGATCTGAGGTGCAGTGGGAGCATGACGCCGCGTGGGCACCGCCGCGCGCTGCATGCAAGCAGCTTTGCTTGCAGTGAATTGGCTTGCTTGCACTGGGTGCAGACTTGATGTACATCCTTGCATGCGGGCTGCCGTTGTGCAGCAATGGCAGAGATGGTTGCTGCGAAAGTGGTGCACCAGGTGCCAGACTGGTCCCGCGGGGCTCCTGACCTCGTCTGCAAAACCACGTGCCCACTCCCTGTCATGACCACCTTCACCCTCACCGCAAGGTTCGACAACCTGGTGCTGCGGGCTCTGCCTGTGGAGGAGGGCCCTAACCGGCCACGGCCCGTCGCTGGCGCCTGCTTCTCGCGCGTCCAGCCGGCGCCGGTGGACGGCCCGCGCGTGGTGGTGGTGTCTGAGGGCGCCCTGAGGCTGCTGGACCTCGACCCCGCAGAGGTGGGCGGGCAGGCGCGACTGTGGGGCGCAGGGCCCCGCCACGGCCTGGTTCGAAGATTGCATGGTGCACTCGCATTGACTGGGCCGGCTGCGTCCGGCTGGTGGCGCTCGTCTGCTGGCTGGTTTTGGCTGGGGCTGCATTTGGCAAAGTTCAGTCGGGAACTTCCCGCCTGCCGCCCTCCCCTACATTTCTCCCCGCGGGCGAACCATCCCTCAATCCCATGGCCACGCCTCCACCTGGCCCACCTCCTGACTGGGCCCCCACTCTCCTGCATCGCCCTCCCCTCCAGGCCTCCTCGCATCCCTCGGATTTCGCAGAGTTCTTTGGGGGCAACAGGCTGCTGCCAGGGGCGCAGCCAGCCGCCCACTGCTATGCAGGCCACCAGTTTGGCTCCTTTGCCGGCCAGCTCGGGGTGCGCTGTGACGGTTACGGTAGATTGAGGGGCTGAATCAGGGCAGGTGCTCCGGCCTGGGGCGCAGTGACTGACGCATGCATGCGCGCAAAAGGAATGACGGTCGCCGTGCGCGCTGGTGCGCGGTTATTGGCTGTGGTGTAGACTCAACCAGCCGCTGGCACACTTGATTTTTGCCTGCTCGCCGGCTCCCTGTTATGTAGGCAATGTGGGCTACCCACAACCAAACCCACACACCCACCCGTGCCAATGCAGCTCTACCCACCACTGCACATGCACAGCGCCCCCCCCCCACTCGACCCCCTCCCCTGCCCAGGATGGTGCGGCCCTGTACCTGGGGGAGGTGGTCAACAGCAGGGGGGAGAGGTGGGAGCTGCAGCTCAAGGGCGCGGGGCCAACACCATACAGCAGATGTGGGTGTGCGCGGGCTGCCGCGGGGTGCAAAGCTGGGGGCTGGCGGCGCTCGCACCCGCCATAGAGCGTGAGGGCTCGTAGTGATCCGCGTTGCTGCATCGCCTGCTGTCAATGAAAGGGGGGCCATCGACGGGCGCTTTTCGCATCGTCCCCCGCTTGCTTTGGTCTAGCTGGATCACCGTCGCCCTACCACCCCTTCACAGCCGCGCCATCCTCCTCCCCCCTTCTCTGCTTCTCCCCCACCTCCCCCGCCCGTTCCAGCTGCTGATGGCCGCAAGGTGCTGCGGTCCAGCCTCCGGGAGTTCCTCTGCAGCGAACACATGGCGGCGCTGGTGGGGGGGGCGGGGGCGGGGATTGCTGCGGGGCTGGGGGCGCTGGTGGGCGGGCCTGTGGTTTTGTGTGAGCATGTCGTCTAGTACCACAACGGGCGCGTCGGGCAGCAGCAAGATCCCAGCGCCTTGTCATGCATCCAGAGCCCAAGGAGCGTCTTATCATGCATCCAGAGCCCAAGGAGCCCCTTCGCCGCACCCCCACGGCCTACTTGTCCCTGCCCTAGAAGACCTTTGTCAACCATCACCCCCTTCCGCCTTCCCCACCCAACCAACCATCATCACCGTCACCATAACCATAACCGTCATCATTCCCATTTCCATTACCATCCCCGCCACCATGATTCTCACTTGTTGCCGCCAGGGTATCCCCACGACCCGCGCAGGCAGCCTGGTGACGAGTGACACCCGCATCGAGAGGGACCCCCTGTACGACGGCCACGTGCAGCAGGTGGGCCACCCTGGCTTTGGTGCGGGGAGGGAGGCCTGGGGGAGGCAGGGGGGTGGGAGGCCTGTTAGTGGGAGGGCAAATATTGGCTTGGTCATCAGTCGCGTGGATTTGGCGGCTTTGGATCGCGCTCCCAGGGCAACTGCAAGGCGCAGATGCAGGCAGGCTGCTAGTCTGAGCTCTGCTCCTCCTCCTCCTCCTCCCCGTTTCTCATCCCAGGAGCGTGCGTCAGTCATCAGCCGCATTGCGCCCTCCTTCATCAGGTGCAAGGGGGGCTGGGGGGCAGCACCAGGGCTGCCAGCCGGTTTGCCCCCCATCTGGGGCGGCTTGGGCAGCACACATGTGTGGGCCGGGGCCCATTGGTGGGGATAATGGTTGAGAAGACATCGCCCATGATGCGCGTCCCGCAGCCAGTGTGATCAATGCTATCCTGCTGCATGCCACCTTTCGCACTGGACTTGCAAGCCCACCCGCACCTGACGGCCCACCCTGTGCCGCCCCCCCCCCCACCACCCGACCCAGGTTCGGGTCTTTTGAGATCTTCAAGCCCCAGGACCCCCTCACCGGGCGCTCCGGCCCCAGTGCGGGGCGGGAGGGTGAGATGCTGCCGGGCATGGTGGACTACGTCATCAGGTGGGTGCTGGGCTCACGGCAAAAGCCGGAAGGGTTGGGTTGGAAGCGGTCTGGGCAGTTGGGACATGGTGGGATTTTGCTACCACGACCAGCCAGGTGCACTTGGGAGGAGCGGCAGCATGATGCATTGCGCGGTCAGGCCCTACTTAACCACATGCGGCGTGCGCGACCAAAATGAATTGCCAAGGAAATCGCCTTGGTCCTGCTCCAACCCTACATTACCCACCAAGCACACTCCATCTCTCCCGCAATACACAAACATGCGTGCATACAATCTCAGGACCCACTTCCCAGAGGTGTGGGCAGCGCATGGCGGGCCCCCAGGTCTGGAGGGCGGACCAGAAATCACACCACAGCAGGTGGGTCCCATTCTAGTGAGCTTAGGGGCCATACGACTACCCGCCAGGTTGCAAGTTGACTAGGAGCACCATGAGGTGGCGGGTGTTGCTGCTGAACCACCAAAATGCCTCCAGAACAGCAGCTTGGCTGCAGTTGTAGCACACCAAGGCTGCGCGGTCCTCTTCGCATTTCGCACGGGCCTGGAATCTCACGGTCGCCTTGCGACCCCACCAAATCACCCACCCACCTACCCACCCACTCTGCTCCCAGCGCGCCGACATGACGGCTGACTGGTACTCTGGTGTGTGCCGCCGCACTGGACGGCTGGTGGCTCAGTGGCAGTGTGTGGGGTGGTGCCACGGCGTCCTCAACACCGACAATATGAGCATCCTGGGGCTGACCATTGACTACGGCCCGGTGGGGCTGGGGGAGGCTAGGGGCGGGGAGAGGCTTTGGACAGGAAGGGGTGCTGCTGCTGTCAGTTTGGGTGGGACACAGTTCACAGGAGGCTGGGGCGCGCTTGCTGTGTTGCGGGGATCTGGTTGTGGTTGCACACTACGTACCACAAATCCCGTGCACGATTGGGTCAAACACTCACAACCCTCTTGCGGCCGCCTGCCCTCACCTCGCCGCCCACCGTTTCCGGTAGTTTGGCTTCATGGACCGGTGAGTGGGGGTGCGGACAAGTCAGGATTGCACCCAGCAAACGATGGTTGTTGCTGCGCCTGCTTCAACTCGTCAATCCTCTGTGTGCGGGCTGCCCATGCCCCACATCCCCTGCACACGATGGCCGTGGTCTCTATGACAATGAAACCCATGTGGCTATGCTGCACCCGCCTCCTTACCGCACCCCCTTCCAGCTATGACCCGGGCCACGTGTGCAACGGCAGCGATGACTCAGGGCGGTATGATTATCAGGTGAGACTTGGGTTGAGGGCGGGGTGTCAGGTGCATCTGCGTCTGACGCAGCATGCTGCAGAGGTACTGGACCCGGGTTGGTGTCAGGCTGCCGTGCTGACGGGCACAATGCACTCCGTTTTTGCACCGTTCCACAGCCAAGGTTTTGAGGCCTTTTCCTTGACCGTTTCGTGGACCCTTTCAACGACCTGTCCAGTTTTGCAAAGCTGCACTACAAAGCGGCATGCGAGCATGCATGTGCGCGTGCACACGCGCACACGCATGCGCGCACACACACACCTACACGCATAACACACACACACACTCACACACACACACAACACACACACACACACACAAAACACACGTTCATCTGGTTTCCCTCCACTAATAACACCACCCACCCACCCACCATCCCACCCACCATCCCTAGGGTCAGCCTGAGATCTGCCGCTGGAACTGTGAGATGCTGGCAGCCGCGCTGGGCGGGGCACTGCTGCCGCCCGCCAAGGTCCGCGCGGGGCTGGCCGCCTTTGACCGCGAGTATGACAGGTGGGGGTGGCTCGTGGCGCTGGTCTGAACCATGTCATGAAGATAGTCGTGCGGACAAATAGCATAAATGGGGTATGTGATCTTGCACATGCGCCCATCCCGCACCCATCCCATTGACCACCCTTCCCCGTCCCATCCCCTTCACCCCACCTCTCACATGTCTCACACCACGCTCACCCCACCCTCCACTCAAAACCCCACCCCGCCCCACCAAACTCAGCACCTACCGCCCCACCATGCGCCGTAAGCTGGGGCTGCTGTTGGCCGACGAGGGCGCTGCTGACGACACGCTGACGTCAGACCTCCTCCAGCTGATGGCCGACACCGGCGCAGACTGGACCAACACATGGCGCGCCCTGGCCACCTTTCCCATGCCGCCACCCACGCCCTCGGAGCCCGGCGAGACGGCGCGCGGGCCGGAGGGCGGGGAGGCCGTTGCGGGGGCGGCCCAGGGAGAGGGGGCCGGGCTGCCGTTCCCGGACGGTGGCTTCCTGGGGCGGCAGCTGTCTGAGCTGGCGAGTGTTGATGAGATGGCCAAGGGGTCCGGCTCCAAGATCCCCGAGGACAACCTAAACGTGAGCACGGAGGCCCCTGGGGTTTGGAGCGGCACAGCGCCTGTCATGTGAGGCCATTGCGCCGCAGCACGGACCTCCAGGAGTGCACTGCCCATCTGACAAAGCGAGCGACCGCATGCGCATTCAGTCACCCAGTCAGCCGCCGCACCATCATTCACCCCCTATATCCTCTCACATTCTCTCGCCTCCACGGCGTCGTGGCACTTGTCTCCGCCCCTGGCCAGATGATGTCATACGTGGCACTCCGCGATCCGGCCATACTGCACGCCATGGGGCTCACACCAGAGGTGGGTGAGCAGGCCGCCTGCAGCTGCTTTACGCCGCGCTCTCCTTGTCAACCTTGATTCGATGACGCACTGCGGGAGAGGCGGGGCGCAGGTCACAAGGCCCATTGCTGCCGCCGTGGGTCAACCACATCACTGCCTGCTTCCAGCGAAACCTGGAAAACACCCTTATTCGCGCAAACAACCCACCCGCATCAACCCTCTCAGTTCATCAAGGCCCAGATGGCGCGCGCCCAGGCTGCGGCCAAGTGGCGCGCCACCACCCCAGAGTCCAAGTCCCGCCAGGATGCGGCGGCCTGGGCCGCCTGGCTGTCGCGCTACGGCGCACGCCTGCAGAGGGAGGCGGCGCTGGGGGGCAGCGACGCGGAGCGGGTGCGGGCGATGATCGCGGCCAACCCGCGCGTGGTGCTGCGCAACTGGGTGGCCGAGGAGGCGATCAGGGCCGCCGAGAAGGGCGACTTTGCCCCCGTCAGGCAGCTGCTCGTGGTGCTGACTCAGCCCTTCAAGGAGGCGGACGACGTGGCCGCAGGGGAGGTGGCTGGCGCTGACGGCAAAAAGGGCGCTGCGCAATCAGAGCCCGCAGGCGCGCCGGAGCCAGTAGCCGGCGTGTGCCCATACCGCATTGGTGGCAAGCCCCCGGCCTGGGCGGGTGAGCTGTGTGTCACGTGCTCCTCGTGACGGCGCTGCAGGCTGGCTGTGCCCAGGGTGCTCTAGGGCACAGGTCGGGATCGGGCGGCTCCTGGTATCACCCACGGTGGTCCCTTAGGGTCACAGGTCTACAGCAGGTTCCACGCATGCAGTGTAGACGGCCATGAGTTTATCACGCCACCAAGGCAACGCGAATCCGCAAAGCTGTTTTTGGTGAGGTTTTGTAAACGAAAACCGCTTCACCTGCTTTGCAAGCTTTCCCTTTACATAGCAGCATCCCATCTTCTGCCACGTGCTTGATTTTTGTTGCGCATACTGTGCGCCACTGTCGCACTGCCGTTGCTTGCTTGAAGCTTTGGACCCCCACACCAGGTTTCCTATCTTGGCCGGCACTTGATTGCATTTGTTGCTGTGACCAATGAGGCTCTGTTGTTCCTGAAATTACAAATTGATGACCACACCGCAATGATGTGGACGTTGTTGATCATTCAGTGTGTTGTTGATAAGCCAGTTAGTGCTGGGTGGTGGTGCATTGCACACGGCCAACAAGCGCCTGAGCGGACCGTGCATGTAAGTCCATGTTTGTATTTGTGAACAAAGCAGGGAAGCAAGTTTTGGGGCCGACTGTGCAGCCCGCACAAAGAAGACTCACGACTGGTATGGGCACAGCACATTTGACAACACATTCTATCAACGAAGCAAGAATTTGACTCTCTACGGGGCCATACAGGCGACATTCTCCCACGCAGAAGGTGAAATGCGTTGGCTGTTGAAAAGGGGGCACAGATTTGAAGTAGGGCTGCGAAAGTGGCGATGCAGTGCCTCCGGCTGACATCCAACACGCCAAACGGCCAACCATCCTGCCGCCAGCGCTGATGCGCCACTCCACCAAAGCCGCAAGCGCGTTCACATCGCCACTCTGACTGCGGGGTGCGCTTCTGAGGCGACTGCCTCGGCGATGTTTGCTTCACTCAGCGGGTGCGGGCACTGTGAAGGGGCGGGGTGCGGGCCAGCGCTCGTGGTGGAAGTGTGCATGGGGGTCGACGTGCTTGGGCAGCGCCCAGACCTGCGGCCAGTTCTTGATGGAGGCCACCGCGCCAAGGATGCCGCCCTCTGAGGGGGCGCAAGGGGGGAGGCGGAGGCAGGAGAATGTCATTACGTATCATATACATACCTTGCTGCACTGTTGGGTTGCTACAGCGTAAGCAGTTCAGCACAATAAAACACGCACACGCACGCACGGACGCACGGGCCCTCTCCCTCACACTCACGCATTCGTGCGCACGCGCACGCACGCACCCACGCACGCACGCATGCGCGCGCGCGCACACACACACACACACACACACACACACATGCACACACACACACACACACACATTCAAGCATATGCATATGCTTGTTTGCATGTGCGCAGGCCACATGGCTGCGAAGCTTGCAAGAGCAAACCATTCATCCGCCCGGAAAGCAACCTGCCGCACAACAGTACACAGCACGCCTCACACCACAGGCTGGCGCGGCGTGCAGCGGCCGCGTGACCCACCGTAGTGGCTGGCCTTGTCCAAGACGCGCTCGCTGGCGCCCAGGTCGTCCATGCAGTCGCGCGACTTGCGGTCCAGCGCCACGTCAGCCGCAGTGCTCTGAGGGGAGCAAGTGTGTACGAGTGTGTGTGTTGGAAGGGGGGAGAGCGTGTCAGCAGAGAGTGGATGACACGGGTCTAGCCTAGCAACGGAAATGCGGGGTATCAGAACGGCCGAAAGCGAGCTCTGCAGGTCGGCGAAATTGATGGACCCAGCAAGCCCCGGTTGACGGCCACGCCGCTACATTAACTTGGGACCTCCCCTGTGCATCTCCCTTCTGTTGCGGCTGGATACCAGGCATTAGTTAATTTGAGGTGTCTCACCAGGTGTCGGATTGGCGTGTACACTGAGAGGCCGCAGGCGATGGACACCATCAGGTACAGGGGGTACTGGCGGGGGGGTGCGAGAGGGGGCGGAGGTGCAGGGGAGCAAATTACGTCGCATCAATAGCCGCAGGTTCGTGCGCACACACCAGGCAGCCTCATGCCTCACGCGCGGCCCTGCACCCGCATTAGCCCTCTCACGTTCTCCGTGAGGCCGAAGAAGCGCCTGAACAGGGAGACGCCGGCGGTGGGTGGAGACATCCTGCCTGCTGGGTGCGCGGGCGAAGGTGGGTGGTTGCTGGATGGCTGTCTGGATATATGGTGGCACTTGCATCATGTGTCTCCAGCAGGGCCAGGCTGCGCTTATCATATTCAGGGGCCACAGGGCAGTATGACGCTGCAAACAACGCTGAGCGAGGGGAGGGGACAACAGCGGACTGCGATCATCAAGGGTGGCTGCTGACACGCAGGGCGCGTCGCCGCTTTCGATAGCACGTTGGCGTGCAGTGGTATCACATGCGAGTTGTGGCAAGACCCCGGACATCCACTCACCGTAGAGGAACGAAGCGATGAAGCGAGGAATGATCGATCACCCTGCTGGCTTGGCGGGTTGAATGAAGCGATCAATCGACAAAGTAGTGCGGCGATATTTGAACTGTAGTGGCTTGAGAACCAGCGCAAAAGGCGCTTTAAGTGCGCCGTCCGCACGTCTTGATTTACACGTCTACCTGCTCCACAGCTTCCGAGCACGACGAATCAGCCCTGGCGGCTGTCTCACCATGCGTGATGGTATCGGCATTTATTATCGGGCTGCGACAGCGGGTGTGCGGGAAACGCCATGCATCTTTTCCGGAAGAACGAATTCAAGCAGTGCATCATCTACACGTGTGTCGTGAAAACACCAGAATTTGCAAAGAGGTCGAGGCGAAAGATCTAGCGAAGTACCTGGACACAAGAATCAGCTATAGGAAGAAGCCAGTGGCTCAAGTGGCAGGCGCCCCACTCGCCCCCCTGCGCCGATGTCTGCTGCAACCGCGTCACGCTGCCCCGCTCGCGTCATGTGGGCAGATGACTCAAGAAGGCACGCATCCGTACGATGGGCGGCCTGCCAGAACCTCATTATCAAACCGCAGCCGCAGCAGTCAAGAGGGACATGTGCGTGTGCGTGTGCGTGTGTGCGTGTGTGCCGCAAGCAGCTGTGCTCAGCTCGGCATGGGTGGCTACAAGAAGGAAGCAGTACAAGTGGGCATCATCAGACTGACGCATTTCCGGGACCCGGTCAAGCTGGTGTTTGTCGCCGCGCCAGCTCCTCTTTTCGCAACCTGGCGGGGTGCGCCACGACGCCAGCCTGCAGCGCGCACAACGCTGCCAGGACTGCGTTGACTCCGCGGCCATTTCGGGCCTGCTCAGCTGTCACTGGCAGGCACCTGGGGCAGCTCGAACGTGCGCGGCTGGGGCCACCGCGTTGTGGTGAAGTGGTGCTCGGGGTCGGTGCCCTGCGGTTGAGCAGCCCGGCATAGCGGGGGCCGGGGTGAGGGCCGGGTGTGCAAGCTGCAATGCGGTCGAAGGGCGATTGTGACTGCAATATGCGTGCCCAACTGGATCAGCACAACTACGTATGCACATGTGTGGGTATTGGCCGCCCATCCTGCCACACGGAATGTGTGAGTAGCGTACGCCCGCAACGCGCACAACACATTGGTGCGAACTGCAGAGCTGGCGCTGGGCACGCGCCGCTGGATTGGGTGCAACTGGCGCGCGGACAACTCGCCACGGCAACATGCACCACCAAAACCGCTCGCGCACTCACCGGCGGCAGCGACCAGACCTCCGGCCATTTCCTGACAGCGGCCGCCCTGGCGAGGATGCCGGTCTCGTAGCGCGTGGCGCGCTCCAGGGTTCGGGGGTTGGCTGCCAGGTCGTCGGCGTAGTCGCGCGCCCTGCGATCAAGCGCCACGTCAGATGCTGTGACCTGGGGGTGTCCCAAGGGAAGCAAGGGTGCAGGTGAGTGCGGCGCGCGATTGCGCGGGATGTGGGCAATCTGAACAGGACTCAAGATGTCCTGCCACAGCGCAGAGTCAGCTTGCTGTGGGCCCACACGGCTCCAAGCACACGCTCCCTGCAGAACTTAGGGGCTGGGTCTCACACGGTGGCGGATTGGCGTGTAGACACCCAGCCCGCAGGCGATGCCGACCATCACGTACAGGGGGTACTGGGGATCAAGGGCCGATGCAGAGGTTGTGGGCGCCGACTTATGGTGTGGACGTTGACGGCACTGCGTTTGGGGACACCACAGGCATGCACCGACCCCCTCGGCTTCCCACACACCCAGCTGCACGCTCACATTCTCTATCAGACCAAAGAAACGCCTGGCCAGCGACAGGGTCGCAATGGGCGGAGACATCCCAAATGCAGCTGCAGGGAGTCCTGTTCAGAGAACGCAGGAGATGGTATGTGTGGAACAGGGGCCGTGTCGTCCCGTAGTGTGGGAAGTGCTGCTGCTTGAGCTGCATGAAAAGCAATCGGCTCTTATTTGTATAGGTCGCCCCATTTGGGCGACCTTCGCGTTTTGCAGTGAAAGCCTGTCGCTCTGCGCCTTACCGTGCGTCTGTGAACGAGGAGCCCGGCACGTCTTGCCGTTGTCATCAGCTTGGCGGTTGCGATTGCCCGTTACCTTTGCACACGGTATGCATAGCAAGTGCGTTGACTTGCTTCGACTTGATGGGTTTTTTTAATTCAACAGTGCCTTCAGCTGCCAGACAGCAGCAATACCGTAGTGCTGGTCATGTGACCGCGGCTGCCGTATGTGCATCCCTACCCACGGCTGAAGGGTCACCACACTCAAAGTCTAATAAGGGAAACTGCTTGCTAGGCGTCGCTCCCTAGGACGGACGCAAAACTGACACAACCGCCACGTTGGTTTGCCTGCCCGCATCACGCAACAAAGTGATAATCGGCGGCACAACATTATAGATTCCTGCAGCAGTCAGTTGACCTGCAGGTTTGTAAAGAGCGACATCTAGATTGTTTGATCATCTGCTTGCACACTCACGCAGCCACAGTCTCCGCCCATTTCTTACTTGGGCGCCTCAACGTGTGGGGTGCTGGCAATCTCAAGCAGTGTCAGTGAGAGTCATCGATCACAGCCATGCGATGCAATGTACCCACAATGCTGACTTGTACTAGGCCTGGCGGACCCGAGCAAAATTGCTTCTACGCTTGGTCGTCCTTGCCATCCACAGCCGCCGCGCTGCCCACACCACTTGCGCGCCGCTCCTTCTCTTTTTGCAGCCACTCGATGCAGTATGACACAGCGTCCTGCATCAGTACGCGGGGGAGAGCGCAGCAACGGCGTCTTTCAATACCCAATTCTGCTGACGCACATGCCTTGCTTGCTCAGTGCTCCTGCTTGACAGGGTCATCAAACACCCTGCACAAGGCATGCCGCACACTGCTGTACGCAGCGCAACGCCAAATGTTGATGCCCCACCTGAGGCTGTTCTTGGAGCACGTCTGCTATCATGGCCTGTGAAGGTGACAACAAACAGGCTTGATGCGCCAACGGAGACAGACAGCTGGCGCTCGCATGCGCCCGATCAGCAGAGCGGCGCACGTTGCAAACGCTGCACAGCAATGCCCGCGACCATGTGCTGTACCCTCTTGTTGGGCTGCCTCCAAAACAAAATTGTCGCGTACTTGTCCCTTATGCATACCTGAAACATGGTTTGCACGTCGGCTCTGAACGCGTATTGCTCCAGTTTGTCGCGCTGCGGCCTGCCCGAGATCGCGGGCTCGTAGACGGACATCGTAAAGGGCTGATTTGTCTTCTTCGTGTTGTGCTGCGAACAGCAATTGCTGTGGGTCTTGGCGACCGGTCAATTTATGTTTGACTCGACTCCGACTGCCCTCACGTGTGAATTTCTGCTGCAGCACTTCCTCTGCAGCGCTGAGCGTACCGCACAGAAGCAAGTCGCCTAAGTTGCACACCACCTCCCTAGCACTGGATCTGATTACAGTACAGAATTACAAGAAATTTGACATAGTCAGCCTGTGGGTGAAAGGCACCGAATCAACCCAGCCATCCGTAAATCAACAACCATGTCACTGCTCTGGGCTACGTGCCCCCTCCGCTTACACCATACGAACCCAGCAGCCCGGGTGCGTACGCGCCGCCGCCGCCCAGTCCACCAGCTCCACTGCCTGCCGCCCCGTACATGGTTGGCAGGCCCGCCAAGCTGGAGTATTCTAGCCCGCTGCCACCACCACCACCTGCGCCCGCACCATAGGACGAGTAGTACCCGCCGGCCCCGCCGCCGGCGCCGCTGGCCGCCGCGCCGCCCACGCCAGGGGTGGGTGCCAGCAGGCTGCTGAAGCGGTCGGCGGCCGACGCCCCCGCGAGGATCGACGATATCGCAGACACCCCGCTCGCGCCCGCCCCGCCAGCTCCGGTTGGGGCGCCCGCTCCTCCCACCGCGGGGGCGCTCGGCAGGCCGTACGCACTGGAGGAGCCTGGGCCGGTGCTCGTCAGGCCGGCCCCTCCCGCGAACCCGCCCAGGCTACCCAGGTCCCCACCAAGGCCGGCGTACGACGAGCTGCTGGGCCCCGCCCCTGCGCCCGCGCCGCCTGTGACGCTGCCCATGAGCGCCGCCGCGGAGCCGGGCGGCGCGTAGTCGGCAGCTGCTGCGCCATAAGACGACGAAGGCAGGCCGACGGCGCCGGTGCCTCCTAGGCCGCTGCTGTAGTCCGCGGGCGCGCTGCCAGCTCCAAGGTAGGATGGAGCCGTCATCCCGCCCGCCGCCGCAGATGCAGGCGCGGACGTGTAGCCGCCGTAAGAGGGAGGGCTGGCGGCGTAGTGGGACGCGTACTGGGACGCGCCGGCGCCCAGCCCGCCCCACTGCTGCTGCTGCTGCTGCTGCTGCTGCTGCTGCTGCGGCTGAAGGCTCTCTGCAGCCGCACCCCCGTAAGGCAACGCTGCGCTCGATGACGGCTGCGCCGCGCCGTACGGCCCGGCGCCCGCGCCGTTGCCGGCGGCCTCGGCCTCGCCGGTGCCCGAGAGCGCGCGCCCCGCCGCGGCGAGCCGCGAGGCGGCCGACATGTCGTCTGGGGCCACACCCGCCTTGCGTGGCGCTGACGAGGCGGTGTCCTCCTGCTCCAAAAGGAACCGCGCCCACACGTCCGCAAGGCTCTCATTCGCGGGCGCGGACTGCGCCGGCCGCGCAGCACCGCCACCGCCCCCGCCCCCGCCGCCGCCCGCCAGAGTGCGGACGAGGGCGAACGGCGCGCCGACCACGGAGCGCAGCAGCCCGCCGCGGCGCTGCTGCTGGCCAAGGCGGCGCCCCTCATCATCATACGCGGCCGCGCCCGCGCTCGTCGCGCGGCCGCCGCCCTGGTCCCACGCCGCCGCCGCCGCGCCCAGCCGCGCCCTCTCGTCCTCCCCGAGTCCCAGCGTCGACGCCAGCAGCGCCAGCGCCTCTCCGCTGTGGCCCCTCTCAACATACTGAACCAGCAGCTTGGCGGCCGCCCGCGCGTCCACGCCCCCGCCGCCGCCGCCCGCAGTGGCCTCCTCGAGCCGCGCGCGCAGCATGGCGGCCTCCGCCGCGGTGCGCGCCTGCGCTTCGCGGGCAGAGTCGAGCTGCGCGGCCTGCTTGGCCAGGGACGCCGACAGCTCCTCGCGCTCGCGCGCCGCGGCTGTCATGTGGGAAGGGGAGGGGATCAGGAGGCCAAGGTTGGTTCTTTGGTGAGGCTCAGACTGAAGGTGTTGCGCGATTGTGACGTGAAGGGGCAGGGAGGGATGCAGGGTCTCAAGCGGAGGGGAGCCGTGCGTGTGCTGGGGCTGCCCTCCACACCTTGCTGGCACGCACGGCCTACACTGCAGCCCATGAAAACAAATATGCAGGCACCAACACTAGAACCGTCATCACACTCGGTACGTGCAGGGCCCCACTTCCGCACGCGGACATCACGTCAACGCTCAGGAAACTGCCACCGCGCCCCTCACCATCCAGCTGGCCCTGCGCCGCCTCCCGCTCCCGCGCCGCCGCCTCCGCGCCCTCTTTAGCGCGCCTCAGCTCCCCTCTCAGCTTCTCTGCGGCTTCCACCTCGAACGCCATCTCCCCCAGCGCGGACTGCAGGTTTGACAGCTCGGCCTCGCGCGCAGCCAGCAGGTCCTGCAGCGACGCGCCGCCGTCAGACGCGGCGGCGGCGCGGGCGTCCTCGAGTTGGCGCAGGAGCTCGGCCTCGCGGCGCGCGCCCTCCTCCTTGGCGGCGCGCACCTGCGCCACCGAGTGGTGCGGCGTTTGGGGTGCCGTCAGAGGCGAGGGCGCAAGGTGCTTGGACGTGGAGAGGGGGGGGGGTTGCACCTAGTCCACCGCCAGCAAGCTGAAACGCGCAATCCTCCTGCGCATTTCTACACTTGCCACGCACGAATGGGTGTGCCCCTCAAGACACCTCACAAACAATGCCAGTGGTTGCTGCCCTGGGGCCCATTGTCATCCGGCACCCCCCGCCCGCCCGCCCTGCCCGCCCACCTCAGCCTCCACGCGCCAGGCCAGCGCGTCCTCCTCGTCCTCCTGGCCCCGCAGCAGCTGCTCCTTGAGCCGCGCCAGCTGCGCGCGCAGCCGCTCACCCTCGGCGCGCTCGGCAGCCAGGGCGCGGGCGCCGTCCATGAGCTGGGATGGGTGGGCGCGTGGATGGAGTCATGCTCATGGGTTGCGGAGGCAACGTACACCACGCCTCATTGGTGCACCAACAAGGTCTGGTCGTTGCCGCTTCAAGACTGCTGCAGCGGGGCAGCACTGCGGCCACGGCAGGGCGCGTTTCCCTTCCGCAGCAATCACAGGGAGCGGCCTGGTGCAGCACTACCTTGAGCCCCCCCCCCTCCCAAAAGCCAGGCGGTGAAAACCCCACACCACCACGCGGGGCAGCGGCACCAGGTGGCCGTCACCACGGCTAAACGCCCCCTCCTGCGACACCCCACCTGCTCCTCAAGCTCCTGGGCGCGCCCCGACACGCTCGAGCCCCGCTCCTGCTGCGCGTCCAGCGCCGCCTGCAGGTCGTAGCAGCGCCGCTCCAGCTCCGCCGCGCGCGCCTGCAGCTCCCGAGCCCCCGCCGCCGCCGCCTCCGCGTCTGCCAGTCGCGACTCCGCCGCTGACGCGGCCGCCAGCTGCTGCTGCAGAGCCGCGGCCCGCTGGCGCTCATACGCGGCCTCCTCCCGCGCCGCCGCGAGCTGCTGCTCCAACGCTGCCGCCGCAGCTGCGCTGCCGCCGCCGCCGCCGCCGGGCTGCGCTGCTGCGCCGCTCAACTGCAGCTGCTGCAGGCGGTCCTCCGCCACGGCGCGCGCCTCCTCCGCGCGCTTGGCAGCGGCGCGCAGCTGCGCCCTGTCCTCCTCGACCTGAGCCCTCTCAAAGTCGAAGGACTGCAGCGCGCGGTGCTGCTCCTCACACTGGGCCTGCAGGGGTGAAGGGGGATGGAGCGTTGGGGGGTAGGGTGTGTTTCCGGGTGGCCGGGCATTCGTGGACGCAGTTGTGGGGCGACAGGAAGGGAGGCAAGCATGCGACCTGATCATGAACAGATGAGCGTCGCGTCGCCTCATCGAAAGGGAGTGATCGGGGGCCAGGCGGACCTGCAAGTGTTCGCGCTCGTGCCGCAGCGACGTGACCGCGACCTCCGCCTCCGCCAGCCGCGCCCTCAGCCCCTCAACCTCCGCCGCCAGCTCGCCGTGCTCCTCCGCAAGCCGCTCCTGCTGCGCCATCATCGCCGCCGCCGCCTCCTCGGCCGCCGCGTCCTTCGCCGCCAGAGTGGACGCCGCCTGCTGCAGCTGCTCGCGCAGCGCCGCCGCCTCGGCCGCCACGGCCTCGCTCGCGCCGCCCTGCGCCTCCTGCGCCGCCTGCGCGGCGGCCTGCGCGTCCGCCGCGGCCTGCTGCAGCTGGGCGCCCCACTCCTGCCAGGCCGCGTAGTCGCGCTGCCGCTCCGCCTGCAATTCCTCGATCTGCGCCGCCAGCTGCTGCGCCTGTGCATCGGCCGCAAGCGCCTGCTCCTGCAACTCGGCCACCTGCCCCTCCAGCTCCCGCACCCGCACATCCGCAGATGCTGCGGCCTCCTCGGCGCCGGCCAGCCGCGCCCGCAGCGCCGCGATCTCCTGCTCCTCCGCCTCAACCAGCCCGTGCTCCTGCTCCGCCCGCGCGCCCGCCGCGGCCGCGCGCTCCTCGGCCGCCGCCAGCGCCGCGCGCAGGGCGTCGGCCTCCTCGCCCTGCTGCAGCGCCCGCAGCCGCTGCCGCTCCGCGTCCGCCGCGAACGCCGCCGCGCGCTCCTCGGCCGCCGCGAGCTGCTGCCCCAGAACAGCCAGCTGCTCCTCCTCCTGGCGCAGCTGCTGCTCGCGCTCCCGCAGGTGCGCCTGCGCGTCGGCGTCGGACACCCGCGCCGCGCGCTCGCCCTCCTGGCTCTCTGCCAGCCGCGCGCACGCGACTGACAGCTCGGCCTCGGCCTCTGCCAGCCGCGTCTGCAGGTCGGCAGCGAGGGCATCTGTCGCCCCCTTGGCCTCGCGGGCGGCCTCGGCTGCGGCCCGCTGCTCGGCAACCTCCGCCTGCAGCGCCTCCACCTGCTCGGCCCCGATGACGTCCGTGCTACTGCTGGCCGCTGCGGCCGCGGCCTCCAGCTGCAACCGCAGCGCAGCGGCTTCCGCCTGCGCCGCCTCCAGCTCGCCAGCAGCGCCCTCTACGTTCAAGTCCGCCGCCACCACATCTTGCTGTTGTTGTTGCTGCTGCTGCGCAGCCGCTGCTGCCGCCTGCTCCTGCGCCGCCTGCGCGGCAGCCTGCGCGTCCGCCGCGGCCTGCTGCAGCTGGGCGCCCCACTCCTGCCAGGCGAGGTACTCCTGCTGTCGCTGAGCTTGAACGTCATCCAGCTGCTGCTGCAGCTGCCGCGCCACGTCACCAGCGCTCGCATACACCTGCTCCCGCGCGGCTGCCAGCTGCTCCCTAAGGGCAGTCACCTCCGCCTCCCACTGCTGCACAAACGTCTCGGCCGCTGCGGCGCGAGCCTCGGCCGCTTCGAGGCGCTCGTTGAGCGCTGACGCTGCCTCGTCAGGTAGCGGCCACTCCTGCTGCTGCTGCTGCTGCTGCTGCTGCTGCTCTCCAGGAACAGGGCTCTGCACAAGCGCAGCAGCTTCGGCGGCCGCAGCACGGGCCTCGGCTGCAGCAAGCCCCTCGGCTAGCGCGGCGGCGCGCTCCTGCAGCTCCTGCGCCTGCGCCGCAGCGGCCTGCGCCCGCTCCTCCGAGGCCGCCAGCTGCTGCGCCAGCGCGGCCGCCTCGGCCTCCGACACGGCAGCCGCATCGGCGGCGGCGGCGGCTGCGCCCTCCAGCTCCCTCACGCGCTGCTCGAGGGCGCCCGCGCCCTCCTCCGCGGCCAGGCGCGCCTCGTCAGCAGCAGTGCGCGCTGACGCGGCCTCCGCCTCTGCCGCGTGCAGGCGCGCCACGAGCTCCGCCTCTGCGCGCTCATGGCTCTCCGCCGCAGCCTGCGCCGCCCGCGCCTGCTCCACCAGCTGCCCCTGAAGCTGCCGCAGCTCCTCTGCTTGATGCACTGCAGCCGCGTTCGCGGACAAGTCGCCGCCGTTGCCGCCCGCAGCGGCAAGCTGCGCGCGCAGCCCCGCGACCTCCACGCGCAGCGCCGCCGCGGCGGCCGCCTCGTGGCGCACGTCGTCAAAAGCCTCCCTCAGGTCTGACAGCTCCAGCCGGGCGTCCTCCAGCGCCGCCGCCGCCTCGTCGCGCTCGCTGGCCGCAGCCGCCGCCTCGTCTTGCGCCCTGGACAGCTGCGCCTGGAGATCACCCTGCACCGCGGAAGCAGCCGCTGCTGCAGATGCCGCTGGCGCGCAGCCGACACCTCCTGGGGCCAACTGTTCTGAGTCACCAGCGTCCAGGCCCTCTGCAGCAGTGGCGGCGGTCGCCGCCTCGGCCGCGCGCGCGGCGGCTTCGAGCTCTGCGATGCGGGCGCGGCCCTCCGCCAGCCGCGCCTGCAGCTGCTTGAGCTTGCTCCCAAACTCCTTCTTGAGCGCCGCCTCCTTCCTCTTGTAGGTGGCAAAAAGTGGCTCGTCGCAAGCAGGGGCCGGGAGATCCAGCGCCGAGGGAAGGCCCCCGAGGCCGCCACCTGCCGCGCCGCCGCCCATCACAGCAACCGCCGCGGCGGCCGCCGCAGCCAGCAGCGCAGCGTCCTCCTCGCTGCAGCTGTCCAGCCCGCGGCCGGCCAGCGCGCCCGCGCTCGCGCCCGACAGCGGCGGCGTGCCCGGCTGGCCCGCGGCCTGAGGCGGCGGCGGGCCCACGGCGGCCGCGGCAGCAGTGGCGTAGGCGGCGCTGGCTGCGCCCTGCGCCTCTTCAAGCAGCCGCCGCAGCTGCGCGGCCTCCGCCCTGGACTCCTGTAGCTCCCGCTGCAGCGCGCCCGCCTCCTCCTCTCGCTCCCCAGAATCCGCCACCATCTGCGCCTTGAGCTTCGCGAGCTGCGCCCTCAAACGCGACGCCTCCGCTTCGCCACCATCCACGCCGCCGCCCGCGGATGCAGCCGGCGTGCGGCCGGGCGGGGATGTCGCGACGCGCGCGGCTGCGCCGCCGGTCGAGGCGCGGATTGGCGGGCCCGACGGAAGGCCAAAGGTCGGGGGCGGCGGCACCGGCAGCAGCGGGACGGGCGCGCGCTCCTGTGGATGGCGCTGCGCTTCACCCCCCTCCTCCTGCTGGCTCTCGCCGGCCCCATTGTAAGCATCCATGTGTGCGCCATACATGGCGGCCTGCATCCACGCCGCATTGCTGTGAATTGCAGGTTCAGCGCCAGCCTCTTGCACCTGCAGCTCCCGGTCGCCCTCTGCCTGCTGCTGCTGCTGCAAGTTGTCCTGAGATGGGGGCTCTGCTGGACCTTCGCCGTTTGCAGGGTCTGGCCACGCCTGCTCGTGAGCCTGCTCTGGCTGGGCCTGTCCCTGCCAGGGGCCCTCATAGGGCTGCTGCGACCACTGCTGCGCCTGCTGGTCACGCGTGTACTCCTCTTGCTGCTCCGGCTGTGGCCATGCATGCTCCTGCTGCTGGGGCCACGGCTGCTCCTGCGTCTGGCCCCACGGCTGCTGCTGCTGCTGCTCCCAGGACACAGGCTGTACGTACTGCTGCCCCCATGGCTGCTGCTGCGCCTGCTGCTCCTCCCCCTGCTGCTGTTTCCAGGCTTGCTGGCCGTGCTCCTGGCTCCAGGACATACGATTGTCCTGCCAGCCCTGCTCCTGCTGCTGCTGCTGCTGCTGCTGTTGCTGCTGCTGCTGCTGCTGCTGAAGCTGCTGCCATGCCGCTGCCTGCTGCTGCTGGGCCTCCTGCTGCTGCTGCTGCACCAGGTCTGACCCCGCCACATTGGCCGCCAGCTTTTCCAGCCCACTTCTCAGCTGCCCAGCCATCGCCAGGTAGTTTCCAGGCAGCTGCGGCGCAACCCCTGCCAGCCATGAACGCTGCCGCTGTTGCGGCTTTGCCTGTGGCTCCTCCAGGTGCCGCTGCTGCTGCTGCTGCTGCTGCTGCTGCTGTTGTGTTGAAGACAGTCCTGGGGCGTCCGCCGCCGCTCCATCCCATGAGGCCCTGGGCTGCTCTTGCAGCGTGACAGGGCCCGCGTCCGGGCTGGCCGTGTGGTCGTGCGGGACGCTGCTGCCACCACTCTGCCTGCGCCGTGGAGTCCGCTGCTCGTGGCTGTGGTCTTCCTTGAGGTGTCCGCTGCCACTGCCGCCATAGTACAGGCTGCAAGCACACGAAGGGAGGCGTGATGCTGTGAAGCGAGGGGAGAGCGACCCGGCGCACTGGCAAGTCTCGCTGTTGTGCATGTGCCTCCTTATTGAGAAAAGAAGGGGCATGCAACGCTGCCGATATACCAGCGTGATGAAATTCTGTTGAGAGTGCCGTCCAGATTTTGCAGTAAGCGAAACGCCCCTACCTGAACGCGTCGTGGGCGTGCCGCGGAGCCGCGCGACCTTGCTGCTGGCGGCCACCTGGCTGGTACGACTCTGCAAAAAGCCCAGACTCGTCCTGCACAGCATGCACAGCGCACATTGAGTACCAGTGCGGTAACAAAGTCCTGGGTGCAAAGTGCACAGGGCCCAACACAAAGACAGCCAAGATGTTAAGACGGGACACGGGAAGTCCACACCGCACATCCCAAACACAGCGTCGGTTGGCACGCAGCATCGCCACCTGCTGCCCTCCGTCGTCGTCGCCCAGCTCAGCCAAAAAGCTAGTGGCCCCCTGTGCCAGCCTTGAAGCCCGCGAGGTGAAGTCCCGGAGAAGAGACATCTGGGCGCAGCGGCCCCTGTGCGTACAGGAGGCTGGGTCGCTGCGCCAATGAATTGCACCGCGGCACGGTGGACGCTCCGACCAGGGAGCCTCTGTTGGGCCTAACAGAAGCTGATCCCTTGCCTTGGCGCGTGCTCAAGGGCCAGCGGCATCCGATCGGCGCTGGCTGGATGTTGAGGGGCCAGTGTCGCGGAGACCAGCGTTCGCGGCGAACCTTTTCAGTCTCTGTGAAACTGATTCATACGTACTTGGTACGAGGGACTGGACCTTCTCAAGTCTTGCATTATTAGCATCATACTAGATCACCACGCCCAACTTCAAAGCTGGGGCCTACTGTTTGGTCGCTATGCTTGTGGCAATAGTGCAGAACATCATCGAGCCAAGCCTGCTTGTGCCGCGGCGCGCATGTGCCTTGCGCCCGCACAGCGCTGTGGGGTGCGCAGCCTGACGGCAGTGTTCGCACGCGCCTGAGCTCGGCGAAAGCAGGCGTTGGCATCATTGGCAGGCCTCACACCTGTGCCTTTGACCACCTTCGCGCAACATGTGGCGCCCTCTGAACGGGGCCACGTAAATGGTGAGTGCCATAAACGCAGTAATGGCAGGGTGTGTGGCTGGCCAGAGCAACAGCGGCTGGGTCGAGCGCCGAGAGGGCATAAGCACAGCCCCCAGAGCAAGGTGACCGCCGCGAGAGCAGCATCCTGGCACTGGGATCAACCAGCACGGCAGGGTTCAAGCCACCGCCTTGCCGTTCCAGTCACCCAGAGCACATCCTGTCCCATGCATGTGGAATCCCTGGGCTCAAACCCTTGTGCGACCAAGCAACCCGCACACTGCGCCCTCTCATTCCACGCAGGTCCTCTTGGCAGATGGCTGTTTTGGGTCATCCCACATATCACGCGCTCTTTCACTGAATCATATGGAATGCCAGCGCAATCCCCCTGGTCCTTCGCCCCGCTGATTGGCGCCTGTCATGGCTCCCCCGCGCCCCGGTTTTGCCCGGCAAGCATTACAGGTTGTCAGGAGAGGCGAGAAGCACATTGCGGTGTGTGACGAATGCAAAGAGTGAGAGAAATGTTGGCATATGCCTCACCACATGCCATGAAGAGCGGGGAATGTCTACTTGCTGAACACCTGCTACTAAACTTTGGGTCACCAGCAGTAGGCTGCAACGCGAGCCGTGCCTCTACGGCGCTACAGGCTGCGCTGTGAATGGCTGTATGTTGCTGAGATGGATACATCACTCCTGGACATCTGCATCAGCGTCAGCATCCCCTTCAGCTGCATCTCCATCGGCATCCTCTCCGTCAGCCGCTGCAGCTTTCTTGCCACCAGCAGCATCGGCATCGCTGTCCACATCTGCGTCGCTGGTTGCTGCTTTGCCCTTAGTGACCTTGCCGCCCGCTGCCGCACCTTGCTTGGTGCCGCCAGCATCTGCCTCATCAGTCTCCTCATCGCCTGCCCCAGCTGCTGCGCCATCTGCATCATTGTCGTCAGCTGCCGCGCCGCCCTTTTTGCTGGCCGCTGCGTCAGAAGCGCCTGTGTCGCCCTCATCCGCACTGTCGGCAGCGTCCTCCTGGTCGGCAGCCTTGTCTGCCTTGGCGCCGGCCTTGGCTGGCTGGCTCTTGACGGTGTCGTCGTAATCGGAGGCTTCCTCCTTGGCGGCAGCAGGTTTGGCAGCTGCCTTGGCAACCGCCCCCTTGGCCTTGGATTTCTTCTTGCCGTCTCTGTTGGCAGCGGCGGTCTTGCCATCAGCCTTCTCATCCTTGCTGGCGCCCTTCTTGCCGACTTTTTTGCCATTCGCCTTGTTCTCCGTGTCCTTGCCAGCCGCCTGCTTGCCTTTCTTTGAGGCTGCCTGTTTGTCGCCCTTGACAGCCGGGTCGCCGTCAGCTTCACCAGCCGCGTCGCCCTTGCCCTTGGCAGCAGCTTTCTTGTCGAGTTTGCCGGCCACTTTCTCATCATCCTTGCTGGCTGTCTGCTTGGCATTCTTGGAGGCATCCTTGCCAGGCGGCTCCTGGATGACCAAGCTGCCGTCTCGCCGCTCAGTGTACCTGCGGGGCGCACGGGGGCGTAGTTAGGCCATCCAGGCCTGGCGACCTGCACAATAACGTGCCACTAAGCGCGCTCTCACCTCGCTGCATCCCGCCCTTCAGCATGCAGCCTAGCCACTCACCCAAGGCCGCTGAACAAGTCCGTAGGCACCCAGTCAATAACCTGAAGGAGGTAGTTGCAGCAGGGTACAGTGGGGTTGATTGGCTGCCAGTGCACACAGCGCCGAACGCATCTCCACACTACAGCCCTCCTGCAACCAGCTGCAGCCCAGCAACCAACGACCCCATCTGGCAACACGTTGAGCTTGATGAGCATGTGTGCAGCCTGTGCTGACAATCTCATCACAGCTCCTGCAGTCATTGCAAATACACGGTGTTCCCCTGCCCTGCAGGGCAGGGCTCAGCACCGGGGGACCACCTGCTGTGGGACTGTAAGGGCCTCAATCGTCTCGCTGCTGAGGGGCGTAGCAGTGAAGTCATTGTACACCACGAATGGCAGGTTGCGCTTGATGGTGTCCTGCGAGCATTTGGCAGCAAGAACATGGCACAGCGGGACAAGGTTGTGCAGCTGCGCTGACTTTAGGGCCAGCCGCGCAAGGCCAGAGTCTGAGGGCGCCAGGAGTGCCATCCCTTCCCGACTAGCCCCTCTGCTCGCACCCGTGCGCCGAAAAGCACTAGTCTCTCTGTTCCTGGGGCGTTGACCTGAGGTTTGAGAGAGGGCCAGAGGCAAAGGTTGGCGGTGAAGGCAGGCAAAGTAATGGCAGGGTTGCGGCGGAGCCTTGGCGCGTGCCTGCGCCGCATGCAGCGAGTTCTCTGCCTGCGTTTCGCCCCAGGCGACTTCGCCCCACCAACTGCCCCAAACCACACACCTTGATGAGCGACACGCGGCGGAGCTCAAAGCTGTCGAGGGGCTTGAACGCGACGGCCTCGCCTCCCTTGGCTTGAACCCTGCAGCAAAGGTGGGCGACCGAGGCGGCGCGCGGCGCGTGGCGCATGAGCCCTGCCGTCACGCTGGATCGACGCTACACTTGAAGGCATGGGAAGCAAGCCGATGCAAGGGAGGGAGGGGCCCGGCCCACGCCTCACTTGGCTGTTGTCTGCGCGTCACCCTCGACGAAGGAGAGCGCAACTTGGTGCACTCTCATGGTGTCCGTGAACCCGTTGACGACAGCGTTGGTAACGGCCAGCTGAGCAGACCAGGGTGGGTGAGCAGGCCAAAGAGCGCCTTGTTTAAAAGGTGTGAGCAGAGCGCTGCAACGAGCTCATCTGCATGCCATCTGGGCAACATATCAGAAACGCCCGCGGTTCAACCTGCATTTAAACACCTGGGGCGCCAAGCGCACCTCTCCTGCCGAGGCCATCTAAAACGCTTGCAAGCACGGCCGCATCAGCTCCCCACACCTAATAGTGCAAGCAGCCCAGGAAGCCACCAAAGCACAACCCACCTGCGCCATCCTGCGTTGAGGCTCGAAGCAGTGGACCGCACCACGGGGCCCCACTTTGGCGGCAAAAAACACGGCATGGGACCCAAAATTGCTGGCAGGATTTGAGGGGAGGGGAGGCTGCATGTGAACGTGTGCCGTGCGTGCATGAGTGTGCAGGTCTTCATGCGTCTGCGCCTGTAGCTGTTGCTTCATGCGTGTGTGTGTGTGTGTGTGTGTGTGTGTGCGTGCGT